TTTGGGAAGAAAAACGTGTTAAGTGGAAACATGTAACATCATCAACATAATTCTCATGTAGCATTGGAATAATGGGGGAAAAAATTCAAAATTTAGAAAAAGAAAATCAAGAATTGAAAAAAACCATACTGCAGAATTCAATACATATTAATCCATAACATTTTTACAGTATATACAGTATATAATGAAAGTACAATAAATCAAATAGAAATAAACAATAAACTAGAGAGTAGGGTTTTATCTGCATCACAATTCAGTTTAACACCTTTTCCTTTTTACTCAAACAATGGTCTTTTTACAATCAAATTAGTCAGATGGATTTACGTTTAGCTTCAAGTGAATCTTACTTTACAAATCCTTTTTATATTAAAAATGGTTACAAAAATAGATATAAAGTGTACAAAAATTATTTAGGTGTATTTATTTAACTTTGTCAAACAGAGCTCAACAACATTTTACCTTGGCCGTTTAAAAAAGAAATTTAAATTATCTTGAGGAAAAATAAAAAAAATTAGAACATAGTTTCAAAACTAAAAAATCGACATCTTGTGACAAACCCATTAACAAACATAACACTCAAATTGGACCAGCTAATTTTATACACCATGTCAAAGTTGTAGATTATATTAATGAATATTGTTTAAAAAAATTCATTGTAAAATCTGCATCTTATAGTTTTTACTCGTTTTTATTTGTATTGCTTTATTAATAATAACATTAATTGTTTTATTAAAATAAGAAACTTTTTTTGCTACTCGTTTAAATTATATATTGTAAATAGTTTCATAATTGTATAAAATATATTTTTTAAAAGTATAAAGTATTGATTATATTTAGAAAAAACATTATTTAAAGATATATAATATTGATTTTATTTAGAAAAAATAAGAAATGAAAAAAATGGTCATGAAATTTTGGATGTTTGAAATGGAATGTATAAATTTGTATAATAGAAATTTTAAAGTTGAAAAAAAACAAAAAAACACAAAAAAAAACAAAAAAAAAACGGACGAAATATGGAAAAGACAAAGATTAAACAAAGAAAAAAAAAGAAACGGAAGAGAAAAACATAATGAAATTACCTTAAAAATGTCGATCAAAAACGAACTTGAAGTTGAAGACGAATTTTTTTGATTACATAATTTTTTTTTTTCTTTTAAATAAAACTATAATTTAAACAAAAAATTATTTCTTGCACTAACTCTTAATAATAATTATACAAATTTTGAATATGACAAAAACTAGCTGTAACTGTACACCAGTAACAACTGCCTAACTTAATTACAGTTGTTATATTCTTTAAATATAATTTTATTGTATCATTATTAAATAAAATATTTACGATGTAGATATATAAGTTAATCATTTCTAAACATTTTCTACATACATCAATGTTTATATAGCATAAAAACTGCTCATCTAAATTAAATGTAGTTTTGTAAATGTATTCGCGCACAATTTCAAATAGATGGCCAAATCATTCTTCATACGATTCCATACCTTTATCACACTGGTCATTTTTTATTATATTTGCATTAAAATTTCAAAAATATGCAAGTACTTGCACATTCTGGGATATATGATTTTGTAATATGACTGCTCCACATTGTATAATATCTAGCTATACTTTATTTATATTATTCATTGCATTGCTCTTTTTAATAAAACAGTAATTTATGAAAACTTGTTTTATAACTTTTAAAAGAAAATATGTCAAATATTAAAAACAAATGCTCTTAAATTTACTTTTTATAACTTATATTAACTAATAATTTTCACTATTTATAAATATTTTTCTCGAAGTTATAAACATTGAACAATGTGACAAATTTAATAAAAATTCACATAAGTATTTTGAAAAATAAATAATTGTTATTTTATATAAACTAATAAAAAACCACTCAATTTAAAAACATACCTTTATTTTACAAATAAATTTACAAATCTACGTATTTAAAAACTACGTGCACGTGCATATTTACAAATTACCTCTGTAGTTTGTTTAATGTTGGTAAGACATTTTGAAAGTTGCATATTTTTAAAACTGTATATCTATATGTGTATGCAGTGCCATAGCTATTAGATCCGAGCCCTAATCCTCCCCCAAAACCTGTCGTAAAGGCCCCAAAATCTTAAAAATTTCCATTAGGTATTACTAAAAAAATAAATAAATAAGCTCCTTAAATTTATATAAGGGCTCCTAAATTTGTGAATTGGTCCCCTAAATTTGCTACCCACCCACCCTCCTTCGGCCTAGACACGGCTTTGTGTGTATGTACACAAATGTATGTGAGTATAAATTTATGTAAGCATATAGTATTGGACAAAACAATTGCAACCAACATCGAACAATGCTAAAAAGTGTTCCTAATTTTACATGTCTTAAAAACGAAACGAACTAAACTACCACAGCAAACAGTTCAGGATTCTGGAGTCATAGCATACCATGACATGAGCAATCAGCTGACAGGTGACAGCACACAGGTGGAGTTTCGTTGACTAGTGCTATTTTGCTGCGGACAAATTAAGTGCAACTTTTTTGGTTTGTTCCATTTTCTCAAGTCTAGTCCGTGTGAACGTCACGGAAGTTATTTGATTATTAAAGGAAGTATCCAGAAGTTTCCAGAAGCATGCAGAACCTTCTAGAAGTTTCCATAAGAAGCATCTAGAAGCATCCAGAAGCATCCAGAAGTATCCAGAAATATTTAGCAGCATCCAGACGCATTCAGAAGCTTCGAGAAACATCGAAAAGAAGCATCTAGAATCACAAAAAAGTATTTGTGATAAAAATCGCGTGAAAAAATGGACCGTATCAAGACTATGTTCCAAATATCGTTGAATAGGGAAGTTGACAAGCAGATAACAAAGGTGGAAGACCGTGTTCCACCACTTCTAGAGAGGATTCTATGATCGTCAGATCCGTCAAGAAGGATTCCTGGATATCATCAGTCAAGATACAAAAGCAATTAGAGCTGCCTGTATCGAACCGAACAATCAGACGACGTGCTGTTGAAGCCGGATTGTTTTCTCGACGCCCTGCAAAGAAACCGCTGATTTCACTAAAGAACCAGAAAAAAAGACTCCTGTTTGCTACATATCATATTGACTGGAATGTGCAGAATTCGCGAACTGTCCTGTTCAGTGATGAATCGAAGTTCAACATCATTGGGAGCGATTTGCCGTGTACGTCGATTTACGTTACTGCCATAAAACCGTGAAGCATGGTGGAGGCAATGTAATGGTCTGGGGGTGTTTTTCTGCTAACGTTCTAGGTCCAATACATTGAATCGATGGAATAATGGACCGTTTCATGTATAAAAATGTCCTGAAAGATGTTATGTTTCGTCATGCTGAATGGAATATGCCAATAAAATGGGTTTTTTAGCAAGACAACGATCCGAAACACACTGCAAAGTAGTCAAGCAGTGGTTTCAAGACAACCATCTATCTGTGATGGATCGGCCGCCTCAATCTCCGGATCTCAATCCTATCGAGAACCTGTGGGAGATCGTCAACCGCAGAATTAATCGTGAAGGTGTTCGTTATAAGAATCAACTGTTTGAACAAATCCAAAAGGCCTGGGGAGCGATTCCACAACGTTTCATTGATCACCTGATCGAATCTATGCCTCAAAGATGCAAGACTGTGATCAACAACAAAGGGTTCGCCACAAAATATTGATAGCATATATATTTTGCATACCTAACATTATAATCTTACCCTTATATAGATACAATAAATCCTATTACATATACGCAGACAATTTATAGGGATAAATTGAACAACACTAACAGTTTTACTTGAACTCCTTATTATGGAATGTGAAGTAAGATAAGAAGGGCTAGTTTTTTGATTTGATTTAAGAATGCTGTAAATTTTTTTAAAAATATAATTCAATTTTCAGTTATATTTGATATGTTTTCAGAATATGACGAACATGATGAACACAGAACAAAAACTTGTTAATGGTTGTGAAAACAAAAATTCAATTATGTTATTTGTGGCAAAATCAACTAATTATGTCAAATCTTGCGAATGAGCTAGCAAAAACAAGTTCTTTAAAAAAAAGTGTAAGATTTAAAATGTTTAATTTTTTATAATATGTAATATATGCATTCCTAATAATAATATTATACAGATTATGGTTAAGGTTTATTTATTTTCTTGAATTTTAGTTGTTTAAGGAAAATTACATACAATACATGCGATTATTTATACTATTAACATTGTTTATACTATTAACATGCAAGTATTATTTATACTATTAACATGAGCACTGTTTTATTATTAATTATGAATTTATTTCGAGAAAAAATTAAAGTACTTAAATTGTTTTATTTATTAGCATTCTCTACGCAAAAATATGCTTGGAAGTTAGTAGGATCGGAATAAATACAAAATAAACTTATAAGATCTTACAAATCTTACTAAGAATTCATACTATAACTTGGAAATCTTACTAAGAATTCATACTATAACTTGGAAATCTTACTAAGAAATTAAGATAAATCTTACTAATCTTATTAAGAACTTACATTTCTTACAAATCTTACCCAGCAGGCACAATGACGTTGAAATAACGTTGAAACAACGTCGTAAACTGACCATATGCTACGTTGAAACAACGGTTGAATTGGAAATAAAATCCGACGTTGAAAACTACGACGTTGAAACAACGTCGATGATTACGTTGTTTCAACGCTTTTCTAACGTCATATCGACTACATATCAACCATATTTCAACTTTGAATAGGTTGATACGTAGTGAATACGACGTTAGAATAACGTCGAAACAACGTAAATTCAACGTTGTTTTTGTTTTTTATTTTGGTTAAAATCCAATTAACTAAAAAATTATCTCAACTTTAATTGCAATAAAATAACACAATAAAAAAGCGATAATTTGCGCAGAGGATATTATATTTCACGTAAATTAATCAGATACAACTAAATTGCTTCAAGGGACTTTATATAAAATGCAAATAAAATAAATTGTTTGAAAAAAAAAAAGTTTTATTTAACAATAGTTTCAGAACTATTAGGAAAAAGTATGAATGTTGTTTTGTACCGACCACCACCATTCGATCTGTCAAGTGCATATTTGAATAAAGTCATTATTCTTTTTCCTATTTCGGCAATTGTAGCAGTCGCTTTAATTGACATGACGCTCACTATAAAAAAAGGTATTGCCTTAGTTAACCTGCATTATACATTATTATTATGATTAGTTATATTAAAAATTGATACATTATATATATATATATATATATATATATATATATATATATATATATATATATATATATATATATATATATATATATATATATATATATATATATATATAATTACTTGCTTTTTTTACTAATTAATAAAATGAATGCATACCAAAATAAATATCAAATATTTCACATACCTTCCTCAGTAATGGGAGACTTTCCATTCGATAAGGAGTCTTTTTAAGTAGCTTTTCTTATAAGGGAAACAAATGCTGGTGTGTCTGGTTAAACAACCTTTTTTCTTTTATGTGAAAAAACACACACGCCACCTTGGCTTTGCACTATATTAAAATACTCTCTTTCCTCAGGAAAATTTTGCCATTGCTGATCCTAATATTTTTAAGATCAAAAAATCAACCACGTAAAAAAATAATCAATACAAGAATGCTAGAAATAAAATAGCTTTTGCTAAATGCTATAATAAAATAAATGTCATACCAATGAAATAAAATGTCATAACAAAGAAAAAAAAAAACAATAAAATAATAACTTTAAAACATTAATAAAATAAATAAAATATATTATTTAACAACCAATAAAATGTGTAAAAGTATAGAAAAAAAACATTCAAAACCTTATCTTTCTAAAACAACTTGCAGACAGACAATCAATACCTTGAACTATAGTATGCGGAGTATGCATAAAAGTTGTTTTCTTTTGCTTTTTTTGCGTTATACGAGTAGGTACTTGCTTATTATTCTGTTGGTTATTTTTGGTTAGATTATATTTTCTCTTGCATAAGAACAGTAGTGGTTCCTATAATAAATAATATCAAAATAAAACTAGTAATACTTGAATTAAGTTTTTAACTTAAGTTAAAATCTTTTAAAATAGTTAACACTTCCTGATTCTGATTCTATCTGAGTATCAGTAGTAATGGCAAATTCAAAATTACCACATAACTCATGGTAAGAATAATCATTCAATTTAAAACTATGTTTTAAATATATATTTTATAATAAAGAATATATCTTAAACACTAACAACAACATATATAATAATAGAGCATTTTTAAGAAACAAGGAAAAAATCTCCACAATATTTAATATTGAGCAGCTTAAATATGTATTAGTTAGACTGTGGTTCATGCATTTCATTGAAATAATTTATTACACACACACACACACACATATATATATATATATATATATATATATATATATATATATATATATATATATATATATATATTAGGGTGTCCCAAAATGACATGAATTTTTTTAGTTTTTAACTATTTCTAGATTTTCAAACAGTTTCATATGTATTTTTATTTACTAAAAGCAAAAAAAAAAAAAAAATCAAAAAATTTTCATATTTGACCCCCCCGCCGCTCTTTTTTTTGTGTTTTTTTTCTAAAAAAATGACACAAAGGACTAAAATTATTTTTGATAATCAACTATGTTCGTATTTTATATAATTTTCTTGTGTAATTTTGTTTGATAAAACATAATCAATAGTTATTTTCAAAAAAAAATTCATATTTGACCCCTCCCCCCTCATAACCCCTTTAATGTGTTTTTGCCCTAAAACAATCCTTAATATACTCCTTTTATATATCTATTATTTATATCCAATATAATTAACTGTTATTATAATTTCAAATAGTTTTGTAATAAATAAAAATGAAAATTTATTAAAAATAAATTTTCACCTGGTTTATGACCCTCCCCCCCCCCATCCTTTCTAATATTACCTTTGTCGTATGATTTTTTTCTGCCTAAATAAGGAATTTTATTAATTATAATTTTTAATTAAAACAAAAAATTTGATAAATACTCAATTATTAAACAAAGAAGGATAGAAATGATTGGTATAAGTTAACAATATTAAAGCACAATGGGAATAAGTACTAAGAAGTTCAAAATCTCATTTTTTTTAAATTATAACAACAAAATAACAATATTTTAAAGGTATAATAAAAAAGAGATTTTTTAAAGCATATTTTCAAAAATTAAGTTTTTGAATTGCTTGTTTATTTATGTGAGGAAGAACTTTTCGGTGGTGTTCTACTGCACGTAAAAGAAATTCTTTCTGCTCATCATCTTTTGTAATAGATGTTGCATAGTCTTGAATTAGTTTTACAGCTCGTTCTGCTGTATCGTTTACAGATTTCAGTGATTTGATATGCTCAAACATGTGATTAAAATTTGTGTTAGTTTTCCAAAACTTTGGGGATTCTACCAACCAACCGCCATCCTCATTTGAATATCCGAATAAATTTAGAATGTTACTTGATTTTGGTCCAATTAAATCAGTCAAACAAGTACTCTGCTTCAGAAGAGGAAATTGTGGAAAGCCTATATCATGTTCACAGTTTTCTTTTATATTTTTCAGAATTATTTTAGCCATTTTAGTTTTATCTCGATCAGATACCTTATCAGAAAATAATGAAAGAGGGGACATTTCTTCAGTTAAATACCAAAGATGCCGATTAAATGTTTCCAGGGCAGCAACAGCAACATCATTGTCAATTTTTTTATAAATAAGCATTTCTTTGTAGAATTCCAGGTCATTAAATGGAGCATCGACTGTGCTTGTGCACGTAAGCCATATTTTCACATAAAATAGTAAAGTAAATTTACAAAACCTTGACAATTTCTCTATAAAACTTTCTTCATACTCTGCCAGGTCAGCAAAAGCAAACATCTTTGATGTGTACAAGATTGTACACATCCATCTAGCATGATGGAAGGCTCCAGGTTTGTGCCACTGTATATTTATTTGTTTTGGATTGAGTAATTGCAAAGCAAGTTGACAACATTCTCGATAATCATCTCTTAATATTTTTCGAGATTTCCGGTTAAGTAAACCAGACAAAAAAATTATTACTTCTGCTTTTTTGGTCTTTAATACTGGTTCTTCGATCTTTATTTTTCTAAAAGTAGTATCTGAAGTTAATGAAAGCTTAGGCCATACCTCATTTTTAAAGTGTCTAAATGGCTCATAATTTGGAGATCTGCATTCTCCAAAAACTTTGAAGTAAACAGATGACAAAACTCTTTCAAAAATATGGTGTCGGCAGGCGCACCAAAGTAACTTTTTGTTAAAGTGTTCTTCAATTAACTTTGCAGAACCATTTATCCAACCTGAATTTGATGGAGTTGTGTCAAAAATCATTGCCACAAGTGTTTTTTCCAGTTTCCATGTCTTTACAGCATCTATGGTAGCTGTTGCCTGACTTCGCCCAGTTGTATCAGGAATCCTGGATACACACAACAATTTCCCTTCAGGTGCACTTGGTTTTCCTGTTACAACAATAGCCAAACGTTCCACTTTACCATCGACCTCAGATACCAGCTTTGAATCCCAGTGAATGGAAGAGTACATGGGTGAAATGAATGTTTTCTTAAGATCATTTGAAACTTGCTGTCGAATTTTATTACCTGATCTGTACGCTGTGCTTTTTGAGATAGATATTTCATCTAAATTGTGACCTAATGCTTCAGCTACAGCTAAAATGATTCCAGATCTTTCTCTGTTGGATAGATTCAACCTATCAGCCATTAAGGAAACTTTAGGGTTTTCTAATATCTTGATTTTTTTTTTCTGTCTAGCAATAGTACTTTCTTCATTTTTATTATGAGTTTTGCCTTCATTATCAAATGCTGCCAATACATTGAAGCTTTTTTCTTTTATGTTTTCTTTTCTAGATTTCTCTTTTTCAATAGCCTTGATTTTATTTTTCTCTTTTTCCTCCATTCTTTTCACTTTCATAGCATAACTCTTGTCTAATGGGCCCAAAAATTGCTTTTTTAAGTGACGTTGATCTGAGAGAAAGTCTATATCTGAGATCTGACTATTGATACTACGCAAGGTATCTTTTCTTATCAAATTTTCGGCATTTGATGCTGCAATATCAAACAATAATGATAGTTTATTAGTAAAACTCAGAAGTTGAGCTGCATAACTTTTTTTTTTTGCATTTTTAATCAAGTTCTCTCTAAGATGAATCAGATGTAGTATCATTCTGACAATATCTTTCTTCTGTTTTATTGGAATTCCTGCCATTTTCCAAAAAACATAAACTTTTTCCCAAACTACAGATGCAACTTCTTTTTTACCAGTTAATTTCAATTCAAATCTTGTAAGATAAAGATAATGGCGTACAACATCTCCATTTGTTGGTAGCTGACTATACATCTTTGCTTCAAGGGTAGGTAATAATTTACCAACAATATTATCAAACTTCTCATCATTTTTCCTCAATTTACTATTTCTCATAACTGATCAAATATTTTTTTATATATGCTATTATATCTATAGATAAAAAAGTAGCTATAAATTATAAAATTATTTGAATAATGTATGTAACATTAATATTCATCATAAAAAATTTTCTCATCTCAAGCATTGAATAATAATATTTAATAATTTTTGAGAATCGTTGAATTGAAACAAATTATGTTTACTAATATTAGCTATGATACATAGTTTAGAATTATAATAGTGATCAATATTGATACAAAACATATTTAATACATTTATATATTTAGCCTAAAATCAGTTTAAAAGTGAATAATTTTGAAAAAGTGGGCGGCAGAGGGGGTAAAAACTTTAAAAGAAGGGCGGGGGGGTCAAACTTCAAAATTTTTCAAAAATCTTCTTATTTTCACTTTTAACGGACAAAACTACACACAAAACTAAAGGAAAAAAAAAATTTTTTTTTTTTGGGACACCCTAATATATATATATATATATATATATATATATATAATATATATATATATATATATATATATATATAGAAAATATATATTTTATATTTATATAATATAAAATTAGTATAGTTATTATCCTAACATACATAGTAAAACCCATTAACCAAACTCTAAAAAAAAACTTACTTAAAAAACTGTAAAAAAAATTCAAGCAAAGTCTACTTGTAATCCACACCCATGAAATATTACCGTCATAAAAAAAATATCTCTTTAATATTTATCTAACTAACTGCATCACAAGGCAAGCCATGTGATATTATTCAATTGTCAAATTTAAAACATTAAAAGCAACAGAAGGCCTTATAAATATCTATTAAAGTTACGCATGCGTATTTGAGTTCTCAAAATACGCATGTTCGTATGCATGCAATACGAACGGTCGAACTCGTAATATAGACGTGGAATCAACGTCGATTTTATTTTGATAGTTTTAAACAAATTTTGAACGTGGATACTTGGTTATACGACGTCGCGACTAAAAATCAACATTTACAAATAAAAACTTTTATTTTTGATCTTATTACTGATTAAGCAGGTATTAACAGATTATAAAGATCTGAAGGAAAGATCAAAATGAAAGGAACTATTTCACCAACACATGATATGTTTTTTGCCATATTAGATAACATTTTTCAAAGATAAATGTTAAAAAAAGGTTGTGCCTCCATATGCGGTTACTTTACCTATATATTTTTATTTAACAATTTTTAAACAATGGTAAAATATGGAAACATTAAAAACGATTTGTAAAAGTTTTGGGAAAATTATACAGATAAACAAAAAAAGGAAATTGCCGACCATTTTATAGCTCTTTGGTACGCAAAGTCAACTGTTTACAATTGTATTAAGGCTATCGAAACTAACAGATAAATAGAAAGAAAAATATCTTGGGGTAGATCTGTTATAATTGCATCAATATTCGATATATTTTAAAAAAGTTTGATCATTGTTCTGGCTGTTCCTAAAATTGCATTGCCAGAAAGCTAAAATGTCATCAAAGTTACGTTTTAAAGATTTTAAATAAAACAACATGAAAATATCGTAAAAAAAGTAAAAGTAAAAACTTCTAACTGAAAATCATAAGAAGTAAACAAGACCAAAAGAGGTAAACAAGACCAAAGTGTCAAAAAATTTTGGAAGAATATAAAAATTTCATTTTTGTTTTAGACGATGATTTGTTCTTTACTTTAACTCATTCGTCGCAGCCTGGTAACTCTGGTTTTTAATCAAGTGAAATTAATCTGAATTCCCCGCATGTAAAGTTTGATTCTAAAGCCAAATATGAAAAAATATATTGGTTTGGCTTTGTATTTCGGCAAAAGGCATATCAAAGCTGTTTTTTAATCCTTCAGGAATGGCAGTGAACCAAACAGCCTACCTTGAAACCATAATTAAAAATTATTTGGTACCTTTTATTAATAAATTTTATAGTACAAGAGAATACGTTTTTTGGCCAGACTTAGCATCTGCTCATTATGTAAAAAACGTGGTAACTTACCTTAATGAGCAAAAAATCAATTTTGTACCAAGATTGATCAATCCTGCAAATGTACCTAAAACACGGCCAAGAGAAGACATTTAGGGAAACTTAAAAAAAAAATTTTATGAAGGCGAAACATGCCCATATATAACAAGAAACGCATTAGAGCCAGTTTTCTGATGAATCCACTCATGCTACACCGAACACATAGCAGTGAGTTGTTTTTTGCTGTTTCTGTTATATGCTTTTAATGTACACGGTAGCAATTGATTTAATAATGATTTTAAACTATAAGATTCCTCTTTTTAAGCCATATGCTTTTATTTTATTGGGCAACAAACTTGCTTTTTTTTGTTTGACGGAGAACTTCTTATTCTTTGAGACACTTGGATTGGAAAATACATCCAGAGATTTTCTATTTTTTATATAAGTGAGTAATCTAAGTGAGATTTATGCCATGTAGTGGGCAAATCTTTTTGAAGTAATCAACAACGATGTAATTTTTTAGCATATAAATAAGCATTATATCTCAACCACTTTGTTGTCAATGGAAATCCACAATCTACCATTTAAAAAAGCCTGGTTACTAGTGCTTGTTCCTCTTGCTTTGTAAAAACACTTTTTTTTGCCACAGAGTTTGATTGTCGACGTCTATTTATTTATTCTTTCTGCGTTAATGTCTGTACTCCAAATGTTTTTGCTGCCGTTAATATTTTACTGCCATCTTTAACAGCTTGAATAGCCAATTAGAGGTTGGTATTACTCGAGGATTTCTTTTTCTTTGGGAGATACTTGCGTACCATCTGAAACATAGGTAATATACAGAAAGTTTTAGATTTTGGCACTTGTAAAAATGCAACAAGATAATTATTACCAATTGGTATAATAACTATCTTTTTAAATATCGATGCTTGCATTTTATAATGGTGCATTTTAAACATGCTAATCGATATAGTGGCTATAAACAATCAGTGACGATGAGCATTTATTGATAAGAAATGCGAATATTAGAAATGCATTCAATTGGAACTAATAACATTTACAAAAATAAAAATTTAAGAGAATTTTAAGAAAAATATTTTTAAGTTAAATTATAAAGTACTTTAGCTTTAAATGTATATCTAAAAACTATTGATTTATTATATCTTTAAAATACTTCTAATAAATTTATCATACTGTATTCCTGATATATGTCCAATGATTTTATAAAATTGTTTATATTATAATAAATGTTAATATTAAATATTGTTTAGAAAGCAAAAATATTCTACATTATTTTATTTTTTACTGTGGGACTATTTTATCATTCTGTGGCGAAATCACCCCACAAAAACATGGACAAAAACCTATTTAAAATATATACCACGAAAGCCAGTTGAATAGTTTTAACAATCTTATGAAGCTCTCATCTTAGCATTTATTCTCAAGTGTAGTTTCCATGAATTTCATAAAATTAATAATAATGCCACTTGGATCTAGAGTGACACGTAAGTATCAATTAGTAACATTAAACAGCAAATCTTTTTTAAAATTAACAACAACCAATCAAATTAGGCGGCAGCTATGATCAATCAATACTTGTAAGGTTTAATTTTAAAATAACAAATATTTTAAATTATTTTTGGCATGGTGTTATGTCAAAAAAACATCTTTTTCTTGAAATATTAAAAGTGGCGAAATCACCCCGGTCTGCCCTATAATAATTTGGTTTTCTTATACATGAGTCTTCCAATATCTAAAAAAATATTTATCTTAGGCCCCAAGAAAATTATAAATTCACATCTTATATTTTATATACAAACTTTGCTTAGTAGTAAATATACAAGTTAATTTTAAGTTTTGTGTTTTAAATAAGATAATAAATAAACTTGGCTATCGAACTTTTTGAGTTGTTTCATATTCACTCGAATTTAACTTTGTCTTGAGCTGCTGATGAACCTGCTCTGGATTCATTTTTTTCACACGTTCTTCTCCAGACATAAACATCTGCATAAAGAATGTTTTTTGCTTTAAAGAATATCTAAATGCTTTTCTTTTTAGTACCCATCCAGTGATTTTTGTGAAGTTTTCAATCCCTTCTTTAATGACAGAATTATATACAGAAATGAGATAATAGAATATAATCAAAAGAATTTAGGTTAGAGATTTTCATTTTGTTGATATAAAATAATTATAATGAAAATTGTGGTTTTTTAATAGTATGTGTTCTTCTGATGAATAGTTATCCAAATGATTCAGCGCAAACAATTTGTGTACAAAACCAAAGAGTGTTAACACTTCTATCAACACGTAGTCTTTTGGAAATTGTTGATGCAGTATAATTTTTGCAAGTTTAACTAAAGGGCTTAACAATTTCAACTGGAGTATAAAATGCAACATTTGTATAGTTTAATTTTTTACCATTACAAATATTATCTTCTGCAGTCAATAAAGTGTCCCTGCATCAAGAAAACAATACATTTCACAATTCGAAAAAGAATGATAGATACTTATGTTGGGATTAGGTTCTAATAAAGTAGAAGCTTTGGAGTCTGTTTTGACTACAGCCACATTAGCACTTTGATTTCCTTTACTATTGTAAGTCTCATAAATATCTTCTGCAGTCAATTAAGTGTTCCTCCATCAACAAAACAACACATTTCACATTTCGCTCCTGTTGATTCTCTGTCACATTAATTTTTTACAACGTGAAGGCTCTTTGTAATCATACCTTTTAAAGAAGAATTGCTTTGCTTTGCAAACTATGAAAGGGGATCTAAGTAGATGTTTCCATGATAAGATTGTCTGACTTTACATGAAAAATTTTTAAAAAAAAGGAAAAATATTTTAGTACATCAATGAGAGTTTGCTCACATCTATATACAGCAGTAAATTAGATTTTTTTTTCTCATTTGACCATTTTCATTGAAGAAGAAGACATTAGCATGTCGAGTCTCTATTTTTATTCAAAAATAATCTTTTTGGCTTTCACGGAGTTAATCCAAAAATCCAGAACTGGTATAAGTGAGAACCTTAATAAGTACGAACTGGCATAAGTGCAAATCAGTTGCAAAAAATGTCATAATTGCAAATCAGCATAAATGCGAATTGACATAAGTGCGGCAAAAGAACATAGACATAAGTGCGAACTGGCGTAAGTGCGAATTAACATAAGCGCAAAACGCCAAATCGCACTTATGTTAATATTTGCAATTTTATTTGGCGCAACTATGCTAATGTTTGCAAGTTTATTCGGCGCACTTATGTCAGTTCACGCTTATGCCAGTTTTTGTAACACTTCGCACTTATGCCAGTCTGCACATATGAAATTTGCGCTTATTGAGCCTCCCATTAATAACGATGAAAAGTAGTCGAGCTAAGCATATCTATACTGTTGCTAGAGTATTTGGTAAGTTCAAAATGTGGAAAATAAGACTACTTTTAAGAGTTCTGTTGCCTTTTTATTGCTTGAGCACATGGATTTTTGTACAGATATTGGAAGATTGATGTACAAGGAAACAAAATAACTTATACATGGCAGACCTAAGGCCACAATTGTTATAGGTATTAAATTAAGAAATTTATGTGCCAGTTATAGCCTTAGGAGCAAGGGCGGATCCATAAGGAGGTGAAGGGGGCAAAAGGAGCAATTGCTTCCTCCCTCCCCCCCCCCCCATCCTCCCTCCTTAGATATTTTTAAAATAATTTTTTTTTTGTCAATTCTTATATTTAACCTGACAATTGTTTGAAAATGGAACTGAATTAGGGAAGCTGTTTAAATGTAATAAAATATTTTAATAAGTTTGTGTGGTGCAAAAAAAAAAAATCAGACTAATGGGATATCGATATAAAACGTAATTTCATAGTTACATAGATTAATTTTAAATGTTTCTTTAAAAAAAGTAAAGCTCTAAAAAAAAACAATATAACTTAAAAAAAAAAATTATTTAAAAAAAATGTTGTTGTCACAATATACCATAACAATGTTTAT